GTTTTAAAAAATGACCATTTTCGAATACTTTACAAACGTTCAGCTTTGTCGTTTAAGGAAGAATAACAGCTAGAGGACTCTCTGTAACCATAAAGTTTCTGCAAAGAAAAATAAAATTTGGTATTTTTTTTTTTTTTCTACACAGTCATTAATAACATTTCTGTGCAACATTTGGTGTTCGTTACATTTATTTGGCCTATTCAAAGGAAACGAGGACAAAACAGCTGCAAATAAAACCAACTCCTCTTTCACAATAGATACTTCAGATGCCGAAGCTGCTACATGTGCTTGGAATATCATGCAGGAGTTTACTTATTCATTTAAATAGGATACATATTTATAGCTGAGCTCATCTCACATCAGACTAGGATGAGGGAAACCTGGAAGAACTCACTTGAAAACATTGTAGAGTACAGTGACGATGAGCACACAACCACCAAAGATATTTTGGCCCGAGCAGCGTGTATATAAACGTATATACACACAGATACATACACACACACGTGCGCGCACCTAAAAAAACTCCGACTCTCAGTGACTGAACTACAATTCATCGCAGGGACTGAACCACAGAGCGTCGCGCAACCCGTCTACGTGTCTACGCAAAATTACTGAAAACGTGAGCGGCCACCAAAAACAAACGCTGACCCCCTGCGACACGCCTCCGGGAAGGAAGCCCCTGCCGAACTCCCCTCCTGCCCGGATACGGAGGGAGCTCTCCCAGGAACAACCTGTGTCTTTCTTCGCTTTTATTTGTAAACGTGACCTCAACCGGCATGGCTGTAAGCCGTGAAAATCCTGCCTTTAATGGTGGGCGTCGGAGGTGGTGGGCGTCGGAGGAAGGCCAAGCTCACCACAAACCGAGGGCGGGCGGATGCCTTTCTAACGATGGAACTGAGGTTTTAATGAGGTACCTGGCAATAATCGCTATTGCTGTGTCATTCCAAGTGCTGGGGAATTCAGATCAGATGGGAGAGCAATGAGAAAGGCTCAGCCCTCGCTTCCACGCCTCCGTGGAAAACCTCATGCAAGCCTGTTTCATCACGGGGTCCGCATGCCAGCATCAGCACCGGCAAGAAAACTGGGAGGCTGAATTCGCAGCTGCCTCCTTTTCAGCCCGCCGCACCGGGAATATTTCGTAGTCTAGAGAAAGGCTCCAAGTGAAAGGGGAAAAGGACATTGTGTGTTTCAAGGAGCGCTAACCTCCGTTGGATTTACTGGCTTCCTCCCTCCTGATGATGAACAACCCACATCTTTCCATAACTGCTTACTGCCAGCACTAGCAAACGACCAGATTCCTGTTATTAAAAGGCTGTTTAGGTAATAAATCTCTATGAAAGTCATCTAACCAGCAGGAAGAGAAACATTCCTAAGAAATTATTGCTTCTGGAGGCTGAAATTGCCATCCACGAACAGCGCAGGTCCAACTGGACTCTTGCAATAACCCAACGGTGCAAAATCCACGCTACGCCTTTCTGAGAGGTTCAAGTTTGAGCTTCTCTGCTCACGTGAAATATTTCTAGCCGTGCAGCTTACCGACTACAGCACTCGAGGATCTGAGCACTAATGATGTATCACGTCCGAGGTGTTACACGTCACTCACCAGGACTGCAGCAGAATATGTTAAAATCGTTTACAGTATCGAGCAACACAGAACGAAAGCACTAAACCTCAAGCCTACTGCAGTAAAGGTCCAAAGAGATGGAGCATGTGGGATGAATTTGACTATACAGTAATACTGGCAAATGAAAAAATTATGCTTATTGTCACCAGGAATAGAATAAAGCCCCTTCAACTCTCTCTTCCCATACTTCTGCAATAAACACACAAGATCTTACTACTTTACCTTTTAGTTGTGACCAAAAAAAAAAAAAAAAAAAAAGGAAAAAAATAATTTCTGTATTAAAAGATAAGGTAAGGGACACACAAAGAAATAAATCATTGCCCACTCTACCCTGAGAAGTGTCAGAGCTAGAAAGAAAACTCTCTCAAAGTCAAGAACAAGAGCTCAGGAGCCCTCAGCGGCGAGCACAGTGGAAGCCAGCGCAGCGGTTTCACAGGCTGGCCAAGGTACAGGAGGAGACACTTTGGCAGGGGCTCCCCCAAGTTAATTCTTCTGGCAATACTACAAATACTTCAGCGCGTTTACAATGGATAATTATTTCCTTCAGCTTTACAAGGGAGTGAAGTAGAGCTTCCTGCTACAAGGCAGCGGGCATATCCATGCGTTACGAATGGTAATTAAACAGCCCCATAACCAACCCTAAATATGGATTTTAACGTCCAGTTCTTAGAAATGAGGCTACGCCAAATGCTGGCTGGGTCAAAATTGGACCTGCCCTGCCTTTGATTGAAACCCTCCTTCCTCCCTTCTCACTCTTCCCCTGACCGAGAAAGCTAAATAAATGTGTGGGAGCTCACCTGCAAAACAGTTTCACATTCCCTCCGCTGCGTGTGAAGCGAGAGGGAGCTTCAACTTCTCCTCCCTCAACGCAGCTAGACCTCGGTCAGCTCGCTGGTGCTGTGAAAGAAATCTGAGCTTATGAAGGTGCTACGTGGAGTAACGGCGATTTGAGGTCACACTGCTCCATGAAACTCATGGGGAAAAGTGTAAGGCTGGCACCGGCCAGAAGATGCAGATTTTTGAACTGTAGAAGAACCTTTCCAGAAATAGAGATTAAAACAAGGAGTATTTGACAGTGTTCTTTTAACAAAAAGCAGAATCTTCAAGGAGCTTTAAAAAGAAAATATTAAAGTCACTTTCAAATGTCTAACTCAGTGTGTACTTTATGTGAATGCCAGTTGTAGGGTGAAATACAACACTCATCTCTGTTATATATGAACATCACCAGAATATATTAAATGTAATTGAGATGATAAAATTCACGGCAGAAGTTCAGTTAAAGTATTTCTCACAACTGATTTCTTCGATAAGGTCTCATATTCTTCAGTAGTATTATTCCCCTGTCTGAACACAGTTCACAGTATGTGTTCTAAATAAAAAAAATATTCACCTTACAGAAAAAAAAAAAAAAAAAAAAGACTTTCTTGAGACATTTGGGAAAAAAACCACCCCTAAGTCCTGTGCGATTATGTGTACTTTAGTGCTTGGCGATTTCACCAGCCTAAAACCAACATCGTCACCCTCGGTAGCACAGGACATCATCACCGACCGAAAGCCTTCAGCTAAGAAACCCACGTACGCCATCAGGAATTTGTCAATGACGCTGGCCAAGACCGTGCGTTAACTTCAAATATACCAAAACATACATTTCTTAAATACATTGACAATTCAAGTAATTTATTAAAAACTGCTTTTCATTTTGAAATATATATTCTTCTTTTGAATGACTATATTGCAGCATGATTTACACATGCAGTTTAAAGTACTGTAGTATGAGAAGTTTGAGGCAGCAGAAATCTTACAACGAGCTGTGATTTGTCTGTTTAGCACACGGATTGCCTGCAGCCTAGAAGTCCATGCGAAAATGAGTAAGTAGCATCACAAAACACTTCTTATAAGACGACAAACGGAAGTTCGGTTTCTAAAGTTGCTTTAAATGGCTGCTGGATCTCTCCGCTTTGGCTGCCCATCACTGCTAGCGATCCAAACGCTACTTTAAATCAGATTAGCACAACTCTTTCAAGCTCTTCACAGAAAAATGTCTTTGCACTGCAGCTATGTCCTGAATCAAGGAAGGGGGCCTGGAGGTTGTGCTGACGACATTGGTGCAGCGGCTTGGAAGAGCTCCAGCCTACAGTTCCTCCAACACAGGGACTGGAACAGCAATACATGCTAGTGGATTTGAATTTTTAAGGCCTAAAAACTGTTTGTGACACAGATTTTTATACACCCGGACTATGCCATAAAGCGATGGAGGTAGGCCTTCGGTTTACCTTCTTGTACTGACACCGTGCCTTTACCTTGGCTGACGCGTTCCCAGCCAGGAGGTTAAAGGATCATTAAAAAGTGCAATTAATCAATGACTTCCTTTCCCTCCGAAAGAGAATTCAAACGCCCA